ATAGAGTCTGAAAAATCCGATCTCCTCACCCACCGGAGTAAATGCCATATTTATAGGCTACATGTTGGTGCGTGAGTGGTTGGGTTACAAGTGGGTACAATGATATGACCACTGGCATGTCAGGGATTTAGGCCATACTTTTAGGACCCCCTGCTTTTAGGACCCTGATGTGACTACTCCTGACATAGGCAGGACTATACCTAGGACTATGATGGTGACTACCCGTTGGATGACGTGGCGCCGCTTCTACGACTTCTCGACAAGGGTCCACGCCTGTCCCAAGTGTCGTCGTTTAGTGTTTGCGCGCGCCTCTCCGGGGGTGGTCTTTACCTGCGCGCTTGATTCCGGCGTGACTCGTGCGCTTGACCCGCGCGCTTGACTCCGGTGTGACTCCTTGGTGCTTCTTCAGTGGGTGCGAAGTAACTCACCTTCAAGAAGGTGAAGTCGTTTTAAGCGTTTTTAGTCACTAGCGCCAGTCCGTTGCCATTTGAGACTTTCAGATAGAGCAGCAGTTATGCTCTTGATACTTTTAAGATGAGCAGCAGTTATGCTCTTGAGAATCGTGGTGAAGAGCCACCACGATAAGTCTAAGATGTTAGGGGGATGAATCATTACGACTTCCCTAACTAAGTTTAAGTTTAAGGAAAGCCTTGATGGCTTCTCATACGTATGAGTTGGCAACCGGACTAGCTAGTGAGGGATCCCCGTGTCAGTCAAGTATTTAAGTCAAGATTTGAGCTTTCAGAGAGGAGAGTAACTTCAACTCCCTCAAAGTTTAAGAGTTAAGATTTTAAGTTTGGAAGTACAAACAACTTCCACTAGTCAAGGTTAAGTGTTTAAGTAAAGTACTCAAGCAGTAGAATTATTAAAACGTAAGGGCATAGACTGACTCCATCTCACTCACCAGTTTGAAGAGGACTAAGAGGAGTTAGAGAGCATCGAGTTCGAGAGGAGCAGTTTGAGGGCAGCCAGCTAGAGGAGGGAAGTACAAGCGCCACTGAGGATGTCTGGTCAAGGCTTTCAGGAAGCGGTAGCATTAGAGACTTTTTAGTTGTTTCGGTTTATGATTATGAGTATAGGCTGGAGATCATTTTGAGATTTTAAGGTTTGAGTTTGCCCAGGTGTCAAGCTTTGTGTTTAAGTAATGACAGTTGTTTCGTTATTTATTAAAGTTATTTATGAAATGTTTCCACAATTTTTCTAAGTATTTCCAGTTCTTATTTTATGTCACGGTTTATTGAGGGTATTTTGGTAAAATTAGTACCCGGCCGAGTTAGGGTGTGTTAGGAACATAGTGGACATTATGCATATGGGGGGGGGGGGCATCATCACAAGGATCGCTCGACACTTCCAGGTGGATCTAGCCCGCTGTACCACAGTCGGAAGGATGGAGCCCTTCCTAGTGGAGACATTGTATAACCAGAAGTTGGTACTCCAAGCGAGAGAGGAGTTGGAGTACCTTGATGAACTCTGACCTTCCGGAGTCATCCGAGCTGCAGTAGCACCGGCTCTAGTAGAGCCTTACCCCAAGGTCCCGCCAGCAGCTGAGTAGCCACCTACTCATGCACCCGGTCGCCACCGGCGCCTAGCGCTCCAGCATCCTGCACAGAAGCCACCACCAGCAGCACGGGATCCTCTCGTCCAGAGGGTGGATCACTTAGAGACGAACTTCAAGGGATTCTCATCCCGCCTCGACCGGCAGATCGACATCCTCGAGCTTATGGCTCGACACCAGGGTATCCTACCCGATGCTGGAGAGGGTCCTTCCACTTGAGAGAGGTAGACGACGAGTGAGACATGTGGCAGAGTAGAGTCCTGTCGCCCCACTCCTCTACTTGTAACCCTGAACTTGTTTTCCTTTTGTTTTTGTTATTTTTCTTCATTTTGGGTGTGTGTGACATAAACTACTACTATGTATTGTGCTTGTAATAACCTCGCCTCGACCGACTGGTATTGTGTTTGTGTGTGTGCTTTTTGTGTTTCCTTGAAGCTCAATTATCCTACCCCGGTTCGATTCCAACTTTCACTCACCAAGCCCAAGTTGTAACATCATTCTACCCCTTTCTTACGCCATTGAGGGCAATGTCGAGTTTAAGTGTGTGTGTGTGGGGGGGGGGGGGGTAGTTTACTAGTACGCTTGTGTGAGTGTGATTAATACTTGGAGCCTTTTGGATGGACAAATTTCAAAAATTTGAGGGCTCCAAGCAATGTTTGCATGAGCAAAGTGGCCTGATGGTGGGAAAGTCTCGTGTTAATTTGCATTGATCTTGACATGTTGCATGTGATCGAGTATAACCTATGATGATAACTGAGAAGTTCATTAGGATAGGGAAAATGTTTAGTTCTCAGGTGTGCATAAATGAATGGATGTCTTGACTTGATCACTTGTTGCTTACAATTGCCATGCATCGTGTTTGTGATTTGGAATAGATGGTTGGGTAACTAGGTAGCTTGTGAGCTTTGAGCCGATCGTTTGCTTCTGGTGTGATAGTTACCTTTTACCACGGTGTGTAGCATCAAAAGTTGTCACTAGTAAGTATGATGGAGGCATAGGATTAGTCCACGCCCAAATGTTGATTATCTCGAAATGTGCCATCCTTTAGTCAACCCCTTTGAGCCGTGTGACTTCGAGTGTCGTTCTCAATTTAAGAGCTTCGTGCGTGTGAGCTTAATGGTGTCAATAGAACGAATCCCATCCTTTCTTCGTGTCTAAACAAGAGTCGTCCTAGTGTCCCGGAGCTCTCGCATTTGAGTTTCCATAGAGGTTCTACATAGGAGTTCGTGTGCGGTCCTTGCTAGGGATGAGAAAAATGAAGTGTAGTGTTGGAGTGAGTTCCTCAAAAAGAGAGCATTGGTCGTTAAATGTCTAGGTGACAAGTGTTTTTATTTTTTACTCTCTAGTACTCCCTCAAAAAGAAAAGAAAAGAAAAGAAAAGAAAAGAAAAGAGAAACGAAAAAGAGGTAATAAAATGGAGTAAATAAAGTAGAGAGTGCCACGAAAAACCGAAGTACATGCTCTAGGAGGGGTTTCTTGGCACCCAAGCCATCGAAACCCCCACATTGTTTTAGAACTCCTTCACTACCAAACCTTAATATGCTAGCAAGGTTAGACCGAGGAAGAGCGCTTCAATGTAGTTCACGATGGGTGATAGTTTGGAAAGGAGAGATAAGGATTTTGGCCGATGGTAGTGGCCTTGGGTTGAAAAGAGGGGTTTTAGTCGAAACCATAGAACCTTCGGTGAGGGAGTAAGTCGATTACCAATTGCCTAAACCGAGAGGGTCGAGTGACGCGGCCTTTAATGTTCACCTCGGTTTAGCAATTGAGATTGTGGTCTCACGCCATAAATGCATCCCTCTGCGGTTCGCGATTACCTTGCCCAAGTGATCCTTCCGCAAAAGAGTTTTCGAACCCATTTACCTTTGCTTACTTTGTTATAATTAGCAAACTTTCAAACCAAAACTTTTTTGCTAGATAATGATTTCAACAATGGAAGTAGGGGTAGACGGACCGGCCCGGGTTGATATCTAAATACTTGCTCTATACTGCACCCAGCTAGAGTTTAAAAAATTGGACTCTAGTCGGGATTTTTTGTGGTGTAGTTTCGTGCGAGTCATGCACCATAATTAGCATTACAATAACATGAGTATACTAACCACATTCATCTAACTAACATCATTCATACCATAACTGATCTAAATGTCTCTAACATAGCATATTTGTCACTAACCGTAATTCATTAAATGCGGACACATAATTATTAAAACATCAATATCTAAACAGTACATAATTATATCATACCGAAAAATTTGAGTTTATGTATCCATAGTTGCTGGAAGCTGACTGAGAAAGAGATTTTGCAAAAAATTGAGTGGAATGGGCCAGATTTTTAGGCATGTACGTGGAGGGGGGGGGGGGGATTGGTTATTTATATATGCAAAGCAGGTCAAGCATCACTGCAAGAGTCCATTGCAGTGAAGCAGTGGCCTATTGAGGTGAATACAGGTCGTTGTGACCTAATGTTCCACCTACCAGGGCTGGAAAACGTGGTAAACAATCAACGTTTTTCCCAACAGCGGTGATACGTTCACAGCTCTAGACGACTGTGGTTAATAATTCACCGTTTTAATCCAACGCGGTGATTAGTTCACCGTTTTCCTTTATTGCGGTAACTCATTCACTGCTGACTCTTTCACTATCTTGGTCCATTGCAGTAATGTATTTCACTGTCTTGGTCCATTGCGGTGATGTACAAACATACGTACTTTGAGAATTATTTTTATAACTACGTATTTTGAGATTTTTTTTAATGACTAGTGTATTTTTGGATTTTTTTCCCTTGGGAATTATTTTTTATAACTAAGGTATTTTGGTAATTTTTTTTAATAACTAGTATATTCTGGAAATTTTTCCCGTTTAGCATGTCATGTCTCTCTCCATCGTATCTGTGGCATAGGCATCTTAACCATTTGGGTTGGTCTGCTTCAGTTTTGAACTCTCGAATGATACTTTTCAACACTACACCATCAAAGCAACATGATTTCCACGCATAAACATTAAACAGTTGGCAAAACCGACCTAGAATCAGCCAGCCCATCCAATTCTAAGTTCCAAATTTCAAATGTGATTCCAAAATTTAAGGAAACTGAAAATTGACTAAGAACTCTCTTCAAGGCACAAAACGTTCAAATTATTCTTGTCCGTAACTAAATTGCGTATACATATCTTCCTTCACAGCAGCAGTCCGTACTTACAAAGGCTGAAGTTTCTCTCCTTCCCAAGCTCTGTAAACTGGAAATCAATAACATTTTCATGCCTCAGATGTACAAATAGAACAAATTGATCAAATCTCACTGGCGCCAACATCCGAGGAAACAACCAGGTCAAGAAAGCAGAGACAGAAAAGCCCCAGTAGAAGATCGAAACGCACATCCACCCCAAAATAATAAACACTGCATGGTCTCGGATTGCATTTGCAGGTGATGACTTTGTTTTCCAAACATCATTGCCTGTAGCCAGCAGTGGAGCTCTTGCTCGACAACAAGGGCTTCTCTTTCAAGTTACCAGTCAAAACAGTCTCGGAGTCTGTCGCTGACTGGCTCTCAGCAATTCCTGGTCTCATCCAAACTTTAATGTGCCCTTCTCGGCATGCTGTAACAACGGATTCTTGAGTGAAGATTAATCCGGAAAGCGGCTCAGTATGAACACGGTGAGCAACAAGAGGAGATAGTTTTGGCACATCTCGCATGCAAGGAGCAGGTTGCAGAATGCCAACTGGGACAACGTTGTCCCAGTGGGATGATTGACTACCGGCACTAAATGTTGGCGAACCACCAGGAGGACATCTTCGCAATGGCACCACGATTTCATCCATTTCCAAGTCCCATAACAACAACTGTGTATCCTGCGCCGCACAAAGACCATGGACTTATGGTGCTTAGGAAGGACTAGGTAGAGCACAAATTGAATATTAGGGTGTGATTGTTTTGACAAAAGAAAAAACACTTACAAAGCGTTGATCTAAAAGTTAGAAAAAAAGACAGTTTTTTCAATCTTGCTTTTTGAAACAACTATTCACCCAAACACAATTTAAGCCAAACTCTTTTCACTAATAAATTGATTACCAACTTTCCCTAGTTGAAATATTAAGTATTATCTTAAAGTTATACAACGGTCTATCGTCTCATCATCAGTTACTTGTTTATTAATATACAAACATCTCATGTCTCAACAACTAACATTTTCTACAGCCCAACCATATACACTTTTCTTCGCTTCTACTAAAGCTTGTCAGAATAAAATAGACTTATTTTGTCAGAACAAACACACTCAATGTGTTTAGGTGACTAAGATGCGAAGTTATGTCAGTAGAAACAGGTAGCATAATCTATGATCCCTCATAGTTACTCTTAGTACTCTAACATGATGAGCAAGGTTACATACTAGGTAATAACTAAAATAAGGATGATAAAACCTTATCACTTATGTCATTTGAATTTTAAGTTTTATACTCAAGAGTTCAAGGCTACCATTTTCATCTCCATAAAAAAGTGACCCTAAGGCTGGCTGTGAAAGATCAGTTTGTTGCCAAAAGTCAGAAAATCTTTACTAATATAAATAGTAAATTCAAATTACCCTACTCAACAGCTTGCAATAAAGAAATTGACAAAAAAACTAAAATTCTCATAGTTACAAAGAAAGAAAATGTACCTGGCCAACAGAGCCAAACCGGTACATTACCGTCGCAGCCGTACCATCAGCATTTGGTGATGACCAATATGAATCAAATGCCACCCCACTCACCTGATCCCAGAAACACACGAGGAAAACAAGCAAACAGTGTCAGGAGTATGTACTAAAACTGTTAGACACAAGAATTCCCGCTTGGGAAGATTAGGGATTGAGAAGAGAAGAAATTAGGGATTTGGGAGAATTGGGGAAGAACAAGAAAGAGAAGAGAGATTAGGGATTTGGAGTCTGATAATTGTTATTGCTTCCTTCTCAAAATACTGATCTGAATCCTTAAATAGTAAAACAAGAAATAACACTAATTAACGAATTGCCACCCTCCTCCTAACCCGGCCGAGTTCGGCCTACTCACCCCACCCGTGTCGGGTTTTGGGTTTCCCACAAAAACACACAGAAATCTCACAGGCCTCACCAGAATACTACTTACCCATGAGTTATGTCCTTCGCCCCATGCGACAACCTTCCGATCTTCCATACTCCAAACTTGAACTAGATCATCTTCACCACCAGTCAAAATGTACTTCCCATCCATACTGATGAAATAAATTTTGTCAATACCCAAGTTAATAAATGCATTCACCCGGAAAGTTACTAATGTTCCAACTTCTAAGAACTCCCCTAAGATTATGTGGAACCAATAGAGAGGGAAAGCCAAGGATATTTATCTTCTGAAAGGAAGATATGTGAACTTAAATAAGATTTTGTTCCCCAGAAAATGGTTAATGAGTCAGAGAAGCAGCACAATTTCACCTCCAAGCACAAGATAGTAGAGCTCCATAGTAACTCTTCCCACCACAAATAAGTTGTTCCTTTGTATAGTCAAAAACTCTAAGGTATCCTGCATTTGAAGATGACCCATCTCAGTTTACTTACAGTTACAAGAAGCAAATAAAATGAAAATCGAATGAAATGTTACCATCTCTTCCAACAGTTGCTAAGTGGGTTCCGTCAGCTGAGAAAGTGATGCTGTTTATTGAACCTTGGCATATGTGCCATCGGGCAATCGGGTTACTCTGCATATAGTTCGCACAATAAACAAAGAAGGTAAGGGAAACCAGGAAACATTTCGATTTATTTAATTCACATGTCCTACAAAGCCAAACACAAGAGGCCAAAAGTAGAAAGGAAAAATTATGTTTCAGCACAGCAAATGCCCCCAATATTTCAGATTTCAGTTACTATTTGATCCGGCATCATCATGACATTGTAACAGCAACAGTTGATAACAAACCGTGGTTGAGATTTCGTTGTAACTCTAGCCTCATATTCCTAGAACCAGCTCCAGAAATTAATAATATTATTCTAGTATACCTTGCTGTACCGTGCATGTGAAACGGAAAACTGGGCTTGATCCTTTATCACAGGGAAAGAAGTATCTCCAGCACCATCCTTGTTCTAGAAAAAATTAGGATTTCAGGACAGTGAACACTGGAAACAGCAAGAATAAGAAGCCAATGGAGATGTCATTTTTTCTTGTAATAAGTAATGCTTGCCTTTTCATACACATAAAGATTCCCATCAGCATGAGCAACAACAAAAGCACCCTCGCCTCCAGGCACCCATGCTATACTAGTACAACGACTGTCAAGAAAGAAGATAGGCTAATGAACTACCATACATGTGCACCTTCTATTACATAATAAGCATAATTGTGATATGACATTTTGCAGCACCAACTTCTTCAGAAAACCACATTTATGAAAGATGACACAACAAAAGAAAATAAGCTGCTACAATTCTGAAGAAACAGGTAACAATCAGAATAGCAGGATAATTATTCCAGATGCTACGTTCCACGATTGAACTTACACATCAGAGAAGAGAGGCAAGAGCAACGGAGAGAGTTAATTTTTTAAGCTTCTTGTTCGAACGTCCTCGAGACACAAGTTAGTAAGGATATGGTACAAGTCACATTCAATGCTCAGGAAATTCATTTAACTAGTGGCATAATAGTGACCCTATGTCACACTCAAAACAAAAAAAAATTGTTCCAAGTTAATATGGTTACAACAAGACATCAAAGATAAAGATTTGCACAAGTGCTGCAGTCACACTGTTTCTTCTAGCACACTTAGTTACACAGTCTTTGATCCATTGAACAGCTTCTTTAACCTTGCATCATGATTGACTTATTTAACAGATTAATGGAGTTGCTATAATCAAATAGAAGACTCAGACAGTGTAGTAAATCTTGCCTGTTAGTGATGGAACCATCTTTGTTATAATGCTGTGCCCCGACAAGTTTCTTCCCAACATCCTGTAATTGTTGTCTGAGAGATACTGAGTAGACTACAATAATACAAATGTAGCATTTAGACAATATGGACATTTGTGAAGGAGATAAATGCAACTGAAACTGAAGTAAATAACTCACCGTCACCAGAACTTAAACCAATAACCAAATCATGTCCATCCCTAGCATCCGGATCAAAGGCATGGCAAACAGGGTTTGAATTACTAAAATGGATGGATTTGATTGGATCCTACACCAAAAGACAATGATATTGAATCTCTCAAGACAGCAACAATGCTAGCTAATAAATATGATCCCTAACTCACCTTATCTTGAGAGTTGAGGTCGCTTACAAAAATAGCATCCCCAACATTAAATATCAAGTAAGTCCCTTTTCCATCAAAGTTCGGATTTATCATAGCACTACTTGAGCATGAAGCCCCTAAAGAACCAATCCTACTGGTGCCACTAACAGTTTTACTCCCACCATTCCCTCCAACAAAGCTAAGTGCTCGACTCCCATTGCCAGCACCCAACAATCTTGCTGCAGCTGATCTCACTCCACTGCTAGCACTAAACGTTGAAGATGAAGATGTCGGGGTATGTGGGGCTGGCTTGTCTTTCAGATTAGCTAGAGTTACCTGGCCATCAGAACAAATCCAATTGAGCTTTTGAATACTGGAATGAGGTCATTCATTGTTTCAACATCAGACACTGTGAAACAATTGAAGAATGATTATGCCATTGACTTCTAAGCAGTGGCAATAAGAAACCCTAGGATTATAGACTTCAATGATTTGGGATAAACCAAACCCTAGAAATTAAATGCATCAGCAACACACACATGCGCCACGATGAACAAAACAAGGAAACAGAAACGGAAGAACCAAAAGTCCCGGCCTGCCCAATAAGACTAAACACTGATCCCAGTGAATCCACAACAGACCCATTAATCAACGCCAGTAATTGTGGGAGCTCCTAATGAACTAGAAGAAGGGGGGAGAACAGCTTTCCCTACTAAAAAATTGGATACTGCCCCAAAACCGAAGTGAACTTTGAAACTACAGCTTCCAGAGAGCGTTGAATTTGGCGAAGTAGGAGTAAATTAAGAATGCGAAAAGGTGGAACGCTGAATAGGAAGAACCACCTGAGTGACAGTTTTGCCATGGGCATAGTGAAGGAGACCAGAAGGGTGTGTTTTCTCGTAGTGGAGTTTGTACCTCCCTTCCGGGGTTTTGAAATAGGTCTTCAAACCCGGCGATTGGGCGTTCGCCGTCGACGATGACGTCGAAATCATACCGTTACTGCTATTGATCATTGTCCCGCCTGCTCGTTACTATACACCCGAGAGCATCTGATCATGACAAAATTTCCCCAAAGAAGCTGCCCCTGCGCCCTCCGCTTCTGAATAATCTGATTCGATTGTTTTGACTACAAAGTTCTCTAACCCGCCACTGTGATTCCTCCTCCAGATTTTAAGCGCCGAACCACAGCTCTATGCTTTCTCTCTCTGAGTCTGTCTCTACTCTCTAGTATTTTCTGTGTTTTTTTTTTTTTGGGCTTCCTTCGCTAATTTGTTCTTCCTTCTGTCTTTGCTTTGCTTTGCTCTCCTTCTTTCCTCCTGTGTCTTCGATGGAGATCAAACTTCAAAGGATCTCCCGGGATCACCGCTCTACGCTGCCGTTTGGTATTTGGAAGGTTTTCTTTCATTCATTTCATTTGTCTTGTATTTTTTCCCCAAGTATTGATGCTTATACGCCTAATATTCATATAAGATAGACTACGTACTTGGGAGATTCCAAAAGTATTGTTATACAACCATGGCCTAAATTATGGGTTACACACATCGAAGGAATGTGCCAAAAGGGGCACAATGACCCATATTTACAAGATAATCAACTACAAAGTTTGACTCTCTATACACATAATTAGTATTGACCTTCCAATCGAGAATCAAAAGGTACTTAGAGTTTTATCCGCTGGTAGCCCATGCATGTGGTCATCATCATTCAAAACAATTCTTGATAATAGTAACGATAGTGCTTGAGTTAAGATTGAGCTCCACCTTTTTGTGCCCCTCTTTCCATGCCAGATTAAGCCCTTCGATTGCACCCTTGAGTCCTGCACGTGTGATTGAACAATTGCCAAGATTGCAAACAAAAGCCCTACTGCATTTTCTGGGTGATCCCGTAGAAGTCCATCAGCAGCAGCTTGCTTAGAGGAATATTGCAATGATCTGTCTGTATGGATTTGAGCCCACCACACAATCTGTCTATTGTTAATTACTTTCACCGCTTGGGTAGTTGTCTTCTTGACCCACTCCTCAGCTTGTTTGACAATATTAAACAAGGCCTTTGTTCTACAAATGAATCTTTGTTCCGAGAAGCGCCTACCTTTCATGACTTCTTCATTTCTTTTCTCCCAAAGTTGGCAGCCCACAATCCCAAAGTCAACTCTTTGTTCTTTATTCAACATATTTGTAAGTACTCAGTCCTCAAATGGTAGGTTGAAATTCATTTCCACCATCTTGTCTTTGAGTTTCCTCCAAAGGGATTCATCATTTCTGCAACTACGTAGCACATGTTTGTTTGATTACTCAAAATCCTTGCAGTGACTGTAGCTATTGTTTACGGATAGCTTCCTTCTCACTTGCTCCTTATTTGTCATCAATTTATCATGGAAGACTAGTTAGAGAAAGTATTTCATCCGACTTGGGCCTTTTCATTTCAAGAGCTTCTTCCAACTTTGATATGCCTTGATCCCCTCGGTACTAGCTACAAGGTTATAAGCAGGCCACAGTCTGAACCTTCCATCCCTTTTTAAGCCCCAAATGGTTTGTCCTTCTCGAGATGTGGGTTGGGCATCTCAATTCCTGCAATCATGGCAACTATATAATTAGGAAGGAGGTCTATTAATCTAATCCAATCCCACTCGTCATTTTCATTAGTCTAATCCGCCCCCAATCATTCCCTTTCTTCATTGGTAATACTATAGATCATAAAATTTTCTAGTGTCATTACATTATCCACCCACAAGTTGCACCAAAATTTTGTTGATTCTCATTGTTGATGCTATAGCAAGAGCCACTCTTCATGAGAGGAAATGCCTTCATTATTGCTTTCCAGAGGCTTGAGTGATTTCTCTTCTTCATTGATGTGATAACTCCATCCTTTTGTTTGAAGTATTTCCCTTGAAACACATGCACCTAGAGATCCGAAGGGTTATTAAGTAACTACGACACAAGTTTGATCATGTAAGACATGTTCAAACTACATGTCGAGCATAAACCTAACCCCTTTGGTCTTTTTGTTTTGTTGTCCCATGACACCAGGTGAGTTTCCTTTTCCCTTCCCATGAACTCCAAACAAACCCCTAATTTTTGGAACGATTGCGTCACAGAAAGAACAAAGGAGCAAAGTTGTATGCATAGCATAGTTCGGAATGGAATTAAGGACTACTAAGGTAAGAGCCACTCTACCCATGAGGGGATAGAGTCCTAGCTTTCCACGAGGATAGCTTGTTATCCATTTTCTCCAATATATATTTGTAGGTAATCCTAGTCATCCGAACATGGAGAATCGAAACCCTAGTATTTCCCTAGGTCAGAGGGTTCTTGGATGCCTAGTCTACCACATATTTTGGTTCTTAGATTACTCTTGGTGTTCTTAGATAAGAAACTCTGGATTTCTCTGTACTAATAAGTTCCTAATTGAGGTTAGATTACATACTTTTGTACCCCTTTACTTGCAACATTTGATATGTTTGCACCGTCCTTGGAGGTAGTTTACGTTGTTCTTGTTTTGTCATGTTTCAAATCTTAGTAGGTAATCTTGACAGCGGGATCAAAATTCAGATGAAAGAGGGCAAAAGGGAGAAAAATGGCTAAAAGTGCAGTGATCATGGTTTTGGAGAAATTGTCACGAGCGCTGACTCGCCACGGATACACTGCGAATTAATCCCGACTAGAGCTCAAGCATAAATCTAGCCGGGTGCAGTATAGGGCAAGTATGTTTTAATTTTCAAACTCGAGCCGGTCCATGTACCCCCAGTTCAATCGCTTAGGTTGTTATCTATCAAACGGTTTTAGGTTTAAAACTAAGAACTACAAAATACATAAACAAGAAAAGTAAATCGAGGAAAATTATATATGAGAGGACTTCACTTGGGTATTGCTTCCCCTAGTCTCGTGCTAAGAAACAATGAACAAAAACAATGATATAATGCAAGCAACACTCATTAATCATGGTTAATTTAAGGTTTGTCCTAATTTTCCTAGGTGGGTGACACTAATTGGCCAAGAATCCAACTTCTCAAAGCCTCTTTCAACAAGGAGATTCTCTCCACCTAGGTTAAAAATCAAAATGACCCAATCATGAGTTAAAGCTAGCACACTCAATCATTCATGAAAAATACCTCAAACATTATATAAACATTCAATCAACACAATAGAATTAAGTTCTTACATCCTAACACACATCTAGACTAGGATTCACAATACCCAAATGAGTAGAGAGGCTATTCCATAGCTAGGCAAGGGAAACAAGAAAAAGGAGAGAAAGAACCATGAAGAGATGAAAATATTCCTTCCTTGTTGCTTGAATCTCCCTTGAGAGGTAAGATTAGTCACTCCTCTAGCTTAGGACACACCCAATCTCCCTCTTACTCCTTTGAGTGACACTTTTTCTCTCTAAATTAGGAAGAGGAAACCCTAATCTCTCACTAGAAACCCTCCTTTATTTTGAAAATAAAAACCCTAGAACAAGCTCCCCTCTCCTTTAACTCACTTCCCCTTTGATACCCATATCGACGCCTGTTCACGGTCCCAGTTCACGGTCGTGAACATTCGTCCGGGACCATGAAGTCAAGTAGATTCGCATTGTTTCACTAAGTCACTTCACGGTTTGGGGCTAGTGTTCACGGTCTTACGACCGTGAACTGACTGGGATCCCACGAGGTGTGCAAACTGTTCTGTAAATTCGATGTTTCACGGTACCGATTCAATTTTCACTATCTGGCGACCGTGACTATTGCGTCCAAATAGACCTGGCAATCGGGTCGGGTTGGGTAATTTCGGGTTGGGGACTTCGGTTATGGGTCGGGTTATGTTTGGTTGGCTAATTTCGTGTCAAATATTGACCCAACCCATTCAGTTTTGGGTCGGGTTACAGGTCATTTCGAGTTATGAGCATTCTCAGAAACAATATCAAACATGCTTCATATTTTCTTACAGAACACAAATTTTCACATATACATGACAATAGTTTACCTAACACATGTCAATTAACATATTCTCAAATCCTCCCACGCTAATGAAATGAAACACAAATTGCGCAAATCGTCATAAAACAATCACAAGAGTAATAATACTACAAGAAACACATGATATTTGATTATCCTTAAACTCCAAAACATGTCATTCAAATTCTAGAGATTTTTTTTAAACATCTCACCAATTTATGAGTGATTTTATCATTTTGGGAGTGATATATAAAATGGAACGGGCCTAACGGGTCGATCCGCTAACCCACCCAACCCGACCCAAAAAATAACGGGTTATCGGGTTCGGGTCATTCGGATTTCGGGTTACAAAAATTTCTAGTTTTCGGGCTTTTTCGGGTCGGGTTAACGGGTCGGGTTGTAATTTGCCAGGTCTACGTCCAAACCATGACTTTGGACTTTTCTTCACTTTTTTGCGCTTTTCGACCTCCATTCGACCCGAAACTCGTCCTCGACCTTCCCACACGTGCTAGGACCTGAAATGTAACAATAAAAGCACAAACTAGTTTAAAATAGGTTGAGAGACGATGAAATAAAAAGTCAAACTATCAGGAAATGAGGGGTAAAATGTGTACAATTGGACCCCAATCACACCCCCACACTTGAACGTTTGTTTGTCCCCAGGAAAACCAATCTCAAACAAGGTAATATTTCAACCTAACAAAAATAATACATATCAATGGGCACACAATGGATGAATCTCAATGTTTATTTGACATCGACACATGAACAATTACAAGCAATACTGACACCCACCACAAACGACATTTACATGCATTAAGAACTTGCAAACAAAAAGTTCTCACCTTGTTTGCAAATCAAAACAAGTCTCGACCGGACTACTCACCGACACAACTAACCATGCATAGAACTAATGTCCAAGGAACAAGCGAATGGGCAACATAGGTCCTCACTGGGATAAGATATGAACATGCAAAATGAGGATGAATCACTCACTCTCGATCAGTGGGGTCAGGACCTTTTGGTGCAAAAGATGTGCACAATCATCAACACTCAATCCTATTGTCTCTCCACCATGGC